TGCAAGTCAGAGGAACTTTGTTGCAAATATCCATCTAAACTATAAAGAAAACCTATTTTGAGCGTTGAAGCCCTGTAGCCTTTGATGCAGGTGCTGCCAAAATGTTACCTCTCTTTTTTTCTCCTTTTCTCTCATTTTCTCACATAGTGAAAAAGATCTTGGAAAAATAAAATGATGCAGCCGTTGCTAACTGTACAGATTCCCCTGAAGAAGTAGATACAGTCCCCTGATTCCTTCCAGTGTCTTGTGCTTCTCTGCATCCACAGGTGTATTCTCGGCCCAGCAGCCTCGTCTCCTCCAGCCCCCAGAGAAGCACAAGCTCCGATGCTGATGGAGAGCGCCAGTTCAACCTCAACGGCAACAGCGTCCCCACGGCCACCCAGACCCTGATGACCATGTACCGGCGGCGGTCTCCCGAGGAATTCAACCCGAAGTTGGTAGGTGCCTCTTGCTCTTGCCTGAAACTTTCTGTATTAGAAAACACCAACGAAAAACATTTGGTACTATAAGTAAGTAAGCTTGTAACATCAGTGTAAGTGCAGATTTCCTGTAACTAAAGCAGATTTTGTGTAAATGTGTCATGAGGTTTCAGAGTGGCTTCATGAAAGAAGATGAGTCATAGTAGGTCGGGGTGGCTTCTTTTGATCTTGTTTTCTTTTTAATTATTGCTTAAGTTTAGCACCAAATATGTACACAGTTTCTCAAGCCCACACTTTAAAAACATTAACTTACTTTCACTTGGAGGTGTAGAAGTAAACCATAAATATAATTGACATTCACATGACCCATCTCAGGAAATTGGGTTTTGACTCTGGGCCAGAAAGCTGCATGGCTGAACTGCAGGCTGTGACTGATGTGTAGAATTGGGGAGCAAGGCTAGAGACTCTGAGTTCCTTGTTCTCAAGATTTCTGTTCAGAACTTGATCTTCCTTCAACAGGGAAAATGTTGTGACCTTCCAACACACTTGTCCTTGCCATCCTTGAAGTACTTGGGCTTTAGTAATGTTTCATTATCTCTTTCAGGCCAAAGAGTTTTTGAAAGAGCAAGCCTGGAAGATTCATTTTGCTGAGTATGGGCAAGGGGTCTGCATGTACCGCACCGAGAAGACGCGGGAGCTGGTGCTGAAGGGCATCCCGGAGAGCATGCGGGGGGAGCTCTGGCTGCTGCTCTCAGGTACAGCCACACTGGGTTAGGGCCCTGGTGACAGAGTCTGCATGACTCCAGGCCTTACCCTTCCACCTCCATGTGCATCAGGGGTTCTTTCAAATATGCACCCCTCAATCCAGAGCTACATTTCATTTCTCACCAGAGTGTTGCAGTCCTTCAATCACTCTTCCCATCACAAGCATCCAGGACTGGTAGAACACTTTGTGATTGAAGGAGTTCTTTTTTTTCCCCTTTACTAGTTATGTCAGCTTCATTTAAGAATGTTTAAATGACACATTCTCAGAGCTGTCACCAGGTGGGGAAGTAGAAGGAGATATGAGGAACAGGAAGGCCCAGTTACTGATTTTTGCCACCTCCTAACATCTTTGGGCATCACAGAGCTTTGGAGGTGAGGCCAGAGTCTGCACTGGAACCTGTTGCCTACCCAGATTGTGCCTTGTCCATTGAACTGGAGATTCTGGGAAGAATAGAGGGGACGTATCTGTGGACCTGGGGGGAAGGCCCAGCCATCTCCACGGGCATAGAACAGGCTCTAATGCCTGAATTTGACCCTCTCACATCAAGCATTTGACCCCTGCTACAGAAACCAGAGACCCTTCAGGATAAGCCCACAGTCCTTCCTTCTGTCCCACAGCATCCAGTATATTTCAGGATCTGTAATGTCCTGAATATCAGAGTCCTGAACATTTGGGTCTCTCCAGTCTTTAATGTATAGAATGGTGGCTCTACGTGGTCTGAGGCCTGAAATGTGATCATTCTACATAGACCTATGTTAGTATTTTTATTTTGACCTAAGGTGATCCAACACAAATGCTATTATTAAAAGCTTTTACTTTTTAAAATGGCGTTAAAGTTAAAAGGATAATTACCAGACTTACAGGAAAGCCATAAAAACTCACAGCTCTTTCTAAAAAGCAGATGTAACTGGTAAAATTGCCCATAATGAGATGTATAAATGTCTCAGAAATAGGAGAGTAGAATCTGGAAAAATAATTGATTTTATGTATTCCATGTGAAACCAGTTTATTCGGTCTTCATTTACATTCCTGTTTTTGATTTTCCTCAAGTAGACCAGCCAGAGCTCCTCATTTAGAAATGAAAATTTAAGGGAACTTGTCTCTAATTAAAAATCAAGCCCTAGAAGATGATCACCTTCCTGTCTCCTCCTGTCTTCCTGTGTTCAGTGGCCTGGTCACCTTGACAACCAGATGCAGATCACAGACAGAATAATTGAAAAATTCCACTTTCGCCCTCCCTGTTCAAATTAGAAGTTATTCACAGCTACCTTTTATTTATTTTTCTTTTATTTTTTTTGAGACAGAGTCTCAAGTTGTCACCCTGGGTAGAGTGCTGTGGCATCACAGCTCACAGCAACCTCAAATTCTTGGGCTTAAGCAATTCTCTTCCTTCAGCCTCCCAAGTAGCTGGGACTACAGGCACCTGCCACAACGCCTGGCTATTTTTCTGTTGCAGTTGTCATTGTTGCTTTAGCTGGCCCAAGCCAGATTCAAACCTGCCAGCCTTGGTGTATGTGGCCGGCACCCTACCCCTACCCACTGAGTTACAGGCACCGAGCCCACAGCTACACTTTAGATGAAGATGAAACATACATACCACCAACAAACCAGAGAACAACAGTACACAGCCCTATTTCAGAGATATGTTTAGGGTTAGACCCAATGTTTTCTTTAAGTGATAGGCTATGTGAGACCAGAGGTGAAATGGTCTACACACAGCCTCCTATTGGGTAGATAACTGAGCCCATATTTCCCCACACCCAGGCGTGGGGCTCATGTGGAGGTCAGCTTGGCCAGGAGCCCAACTTGGGTCTTACCTGCTTCCCCTGACCCTTAGAGTCACTACATGAGGACATGAATGAGCATACCCACCAAAGTGGTATACAGGCCAGATGGCAGAAATCTCAGCACACCTCCCATGAGAACAGAGCAAAAACCAGGGTGGTACATTGCTGCCAGCCAGGCTGCCCTCATGAGGGCAAGTGTGAATGTTATGGTTGGCTTTGTCTCTGACCATCAGGAGTGGGACAGCCCAGTGGTCTTGGGTTGGATACATCTAAACTGCTAAATGTAAATGTTTACCGTGTCATTTTATACATATAACTTATATTTATTCTTTCTTTTTCATGATAGCTTTATTGAGATGTAATTCACAATTCACCAGTTGAAGTGTATAATTCAGTGGTTTCTGGAATATTCACAGAATTGTGCAGTTATCACCACTGTCTATTTTAGAATACTGCCATCATCTCCCCAAAAAGCTCTGCGTACCTGCATCAGTCATTCTCTATTTCCCTACAAACCCCCTCTAGACGTAGGCAATCTCCAATCTCCTTTCTGTCTCTAGACATTTCATATGCATAAATGTAAGCATACTATAGGTAGTTTTTTGTGACTGGCTTCTTTCACTTAGAACAGTATTTTCAAGGTTCAACCATGTCATAATGTATCTTACCATTTTTTTCCTTTCGATGGTAGAATTTTATACCCTTATATGGATGTACTGCACTTTGTTCATCCATGTATCAGTTGTTGAATATTTAGGTTGCTTCCATGCTTTGGGTGCTATAAATAATGCTACTGTGAGCATTCATGTGCAAGTTTTTATGTCAACACATATTTTTATTTCTCTTGCGTGTATACCTGGGAGTAGAATTTCTGGCTCCAATGATACTCTATGTTTGACCTTTGAGGAACTGCCAGAATAATTTCCAAAGCAGCTGTACCATTTTACACTCCCCAGCAGTGTAAGAGTTCCAGTTTCTCAGTGTCTTCACCATACTTGTTATTACCTAGCTTTTTATTATAGTCATCCTAGTGGGTATAAAGTGATGTTTTGTTATTTTGATTCACATTGTTTTGTTTCTTTGATGGCTAATGATGTTGAGCATTTTTTTATACACCTGTTGTCCATCTTCCTTGCAGAAATACCTGTTTCCAACTTTTGCCTACTTTAAATTGGGTTATTTATCTTTTTTTTTTTTTTAAGAGACAGAGTCTCACTTTATCACCCTCAGTAGAGTGCTATGGCATCCCAGCTCACAGCAACCTCCCAACTTCTGGGCTTAAGCGATTCTCTTGCTTCAGCCTCCTAAGTAGCAGGGACTACAGGAGCCTGCCAGAACACCTGGCTATTTTTTTGTGGCAGTTTGGCCGGAGCTGAGTTTGAACCCGCCACCCTTGGTATATGGGGCCAGCGCCCTACCCACTAAGCTACAGGCACCCCCCAAGTTATTTATCATTTAATTGTTGAGTTGTAAGAGTATCTAAACATATTTTAGGTACAAATCCCTTCTTAGATTTCAAAAATAATTCTCATCCTGTAAGCTGTCTTTTCACTGTTTCGGTGGCATTCTTTGAAACACAAAAATGTTTAATTTTGAAGAAGTACAATTTATATCTATTTTTTGGTCACTATACTTTCATAGCATGAAGATTTATGCCTGTTCTATTTTTTAAGAGTTTTATAGTCTTAGCAATTACATTTAAGTCATGGGCTCATTTTGAGTTAATTTTTTATGTGGTGTGAGGGAACAATCTGATTCATTCTTCTTCATATAGATAATCCAGTTATCCCAGCCCATTTGTCGAAAAGACTATTCTTTCCCCCATTGAATTGTCTTAGCATTCTTGTCAAAAATTAATGATTTATATGTTTGTCTTTATGACAGTACCACAAAGTCTCAATTATTTTAGGTCAGTTTGGTCAACAATTATTAGGTCAACAATATTAAGTCTTCCTATAATACATAAACACAGATGTCTTTTCATCTACTTAAGTCTTTGTTAATTTCCCTCAGGAATTTTTTCGTAGTTTGTAGTGAGCAAGTTTTACATGTATTTTGTTATATTTATTCCTAAATTTTCAATGCTAGTGTAAAATGAATTTTTGTATTTTTGAGACAGAATCTCAGTTTGAGGCCAACCTGTTTTGAGAGGCAGAAACTCTATTTTCAAATGAAATCTTAACAAAAACTACAAAATAAAAGCAGAGCTGCTATGGCTGCTGGAAGTGATGAGAGGGTGAGGCCCAGCCTGGCTGACTCTGATGACTCCCCTCTGCCACTCCTCAGAAGTCACTATACTCAGGGCTGTCCACAGAAGTTCCTTGTAGCTTGGGAACCTCTGCCTTAGGAAGTTTTTAAGTAACTAGCTTACTGTAGAGGAAGCTAGAAGAAGACCCACAAGCACATTTGCCAGTGTAGCCTGTTGTCTCATAGCCGCATCTGCGTGGTTTCATCTGATTTTGCAAGTTTCCGTCCAGAGGTAGGAAAGTGAAGAGGTTTGGTCGTAAGTTGTGGTTGCAGACCAGAAGGCAGGGCTTTTGTTTTTTTGGTATTATAACTTTTGGGTCTTATTTCCCAGGTGCCATCAACGAAAAGGCCACACATCCTGGGTACTACGAAGACCTCGTGGAGAAGTCCTTGGGGAAGTACAATCTCGCCACGGAGGAGATTGAGAGGGATTTACACCGGTCCCTTCCAGAGCACCCGGCCTTCCAGAATGAAATGGGCATCGCAGCTCTGAGGAGAGTGTTAACAGCTTATGCTTTTCGAAATCCTAATATAGGGTATTGCCAGGTAAATGTCACAGAATATTTATGCTAAAAAAATTAAATTCTATTTGCCAATAAATAATGTGAAGGAAGGATTTATGGTTAACAGAACTATCACTGCACCAAGGTTTCTCAGCCTTGTGGACTTAATTCTTTGTTGTAGGGGCTGCCTTGAGCTTCATAGGATGTTTAGTAATATCCGGGCCCATTAGATGCCAGTAGAACTCCCCAGTCGTGGCAGCCGAAAATGTCTCTAGACGTTACTGAATGTCCCCAACAAGCACAATCAGCCTTGGTTGAGAACCACTGCATTGAGTGGAGGAGCCTGAAGAAACGAGTGCCCGTTCTAGATTCGTCACTGTCTAACTGGGTGGATAGGAAAAGATCCTGTTCATTCTCTGATCCGCTCCTCAGACTCCCTAAAATAAAAAGAGTGCACACCTGAGCACAGGGCCTTCACGGGGATTGCCACAGTGTTCCTGCTTTGCACTCTCTTAAGCAGTAATAGCCTTGAGAATACAGATATACTGGGGTGATATTTTAGTATACATTAGAATAAGCGCTTAATTCGATATAAAAAGTGTTGCCAAATGCCAATGAAAATAATCCCTTGTGCTGGTATTTATAAGACAATTTGGGGAAACTCTAAAATAATGTGACCTTAGATTCAAAGGCCACATCGTGGGAGAGGCCGTCCCTAGCCATCCAGCAAAAGGGAAAGGGGGCTGAGCCCCTTCTCTCACACGGGTTCACTCAGGTGTGTGTGCATGCGCCTGTGTTGCATTATTTTATCTTTTTAATAGCACTCAATTTAAATAAAACCCCAAAGTGGCTAACTTTGTCATCTTTGTCTCTCTAATACCAGGATTTAGGGCCTGTGAGACTTCTCAATGGTGTTCCTCCATCCCCACTACTTAGTCAAGACCCTGTTATAAAACAGACCCAAACAACATACCTTGATGAATGACGAGGGGACTGACCCAGATGATAATCATGCACTAGAATCAGCAGGTTAATTCTCAAGTGAAATTTTAATAGGGATTTCACTTGGGAAAATAATGAGTAAGACTTAAAAGGAAAGCACCTATTAGACCAAAATACGGTTTTTTGAAATTTGTATTATAGACGTCTGATGAACAATTACTGGTTTCTAGGAGATCAAAAGAGTAGAGTAGATGTTAGTTGGCTTCTAATATCCTGGAGTTTATATTTATCTTTTGATCTTTCTCCTTTTAATTAAGAGGACTATTAAAGTAGTAGAACCTAGAGAGTACTTATGAGGTACCTGATAATATCCTGCAATATAGTATAGTTCCTTTAGAATTTAAATCACTTCTACTTATCACTACCACCTTTATCCAGAAGGAAATAATAAGTAAGGACTCCAGCTTTGAAAAGTAACATGTTCTCTGAGGAGGCTTGGAGCCATAGAAACCATTATGGAAGGCTAAAAAGGAAATTTTTACCTCACTGAATTAAGGATTAAGAGAGATTTTAAGAGGGTTAAAAACATTGTTAAATAACCTTTAGGCAAAGTTTTTGCCTTTTTTTTTTTTTTTTTTTAGCCAGGGCTGGGTTTGAACCCACCACCTCCGGTATATGGGGCCAGCGCCCATGGGCAAAGTGTTTGAATGAAAGTTTCCCTGCACAAGTTTAGATCTCAGACTGGTGAATATTGGTGTTGATGGAGACCCCAAATAGCTACTGGCTTGAGGACTAATAGCTTTTTCAATTTTCAGAGGGTCGTAAATTAAAGAAGACTCAGAGAAGGATGTGACAGACGACTATGCGTAGTCTGCAAAGCCTCAAACTAGTTATCTGGCCTTTTATAGAAAAAAAAATCTGCTGCTCTCCCCGCTGAGAAGAACTCAGTAACTTTTAGGTGAACAGAATTGCTTATATTTTCAAACGTGCTTGCTGACATCCACTTTCGCTCCTTAGGCCATGAATATTGTCACTTCAGTGCTCCTTCTTTATGCCAAAGAGGAAGAAGCCTTCTGGCTGCTCGTGGCTTTATGTGAGCGCATGCTCCCGGACTACTACAACACCAGAGTTGTTGGTATGTGGGGATGGGTTTAACATTTTAATCTATGCTTCATCAGAAGATGTTTGTAGCATGTTACCAGCTAGAACAGTATTTCCAATCACCATAAGCCAAGAGTTTCAGACTCCTCCAGTTTTTCAAGATGGAAATTCAAGGGCTTGATTAAATGTAGGTTCCATACAAAGGAACCTTATGGAGCTTAAGGAAATATGCCCGTATCACTATTAACAGAAAATTTTTTAGAAGACATATGATGTGAATGTGTCACTCTGTGACAGGTGAGACCTATGCCAAGTATACCAACCACCAACACAAAGAGATTGGATAAAAAAAAACCCCATTAATTTAATTTTTTAGTGAAGAGGATGGACCTATGGAAATAGCGGTATTCAAAGAAAGGTTGTCTGGAATGGAGAAAATAGAATATAAAGGTTCATTCAGAACCTGGTAAAGCTAAATTTACAAGGTATTTTTCAGACTGATTTCATTACAAAGCAAATACCTTCCGTGAGCGTTTAATATCAGACGTTAGTAATATCATCTCCTCAAATGACAGGCATTCATTTTAGCTGGGCAAGTGTTTCATTGCTCGGGCAGTACAAATGTATCCTGTATGCTTTCCTCCTGTGTTCTGTCTATATTTCTAAACATTTGCACACTCATTTTATTCATTGAAAATATCAAAAGATGTCGGTAAGTTGATCATGAATGCGTATAGCAGAAATGCTTTTCAGTTAAAAAAAAAAAAAAAAAACAGTTGTTAAAAAAAATGGTTTCTACTTGGAGACCATGCACCCAGAAGAGTGATTTCTTTTGATAAAAAAGAGTTTGCCATGTAAATTGGTTACATGTACTTTTGAAGCTATGGTGCTGATGTCTTGGTCAGGAAAAGGTGGAAAGGTGCCAGGAAGAGCCAGGCCGAGCAGAGTTAATACGGGAGATTTATTAAGAGCATCTGCAAGCTCTTAGAAAAAGTGGTGACAGCTCCAGCTTGGGTAAGGGGCCCCTTTTAAAGCAATTCGGGGTGTGGCACAAGTGCAGCTCAGGAGGGGACCCAGTAGTAAGTAGCTCAGTAACTGCAATGTGGTGTAGAAGACTAAAGGCACTCTGCTGGAGGCCTTGTAAAAAGGGGGAGGGTTATCGCTGGAAATCTTCAGTAACCTGGAAGGACTGTTTTTACAGAACCAGAAAAGCAGGGAGAGTTCTCTTCTTTGTTTAATCAGTGTCCAGACCCACTGAGCCAGAGAAAGACTAACAAGTCCTATTTGCTTAAGAATGTTTAGAGCCATAGGAGGTAAAGGGAGACTAATAAGTCCTGTTCTCTTCTTTCCTGACTGTGTGTTTAAACCCCCAGAGGTGGGGACTTTGTGAGTGTTTATTCCCTGAGGCAGACAAAGACTAACAAGGACTGATGCATATATACAACAGGGGTTCCATAAGGTTATGCCATATTTGTGCTGTACCTTTTCTATGTTGAGATGTGTTTAGGGACACAAATACCACAGTTGCCTCCAGCATTCAGTTCAGTAACATGCTGTCCAGACTAGTAGCCTCAGAGCAATAGGCTGGGGGTGGGGGGGGTGGGGGAGGATGTCCTCTGTATGTTGTAGGATATAGCCTAGGTTTGTTTAAGGACATTTTATACATGTATACAACAATGAAATTACCTAAGAACACATTTTTCAGTACCTATCCTAATGGTTAAGTGACACATGACTGTGCTTAGATGTGCCTTTCAGGCTTAACCAGACATGTTGCCAACAAAATAATCAATTGTATATCATGAAAACTTTGTAAACTGGCTTTGGTCAAAGCCCTTACAGCTATCCTGTGATAGCTCTTTCATATTAAGGAAAGCAGGACAGGAAGACCCCAGAAAGAGAAGGTGCAGCCAGAATTACTCTGGTGACTGAGCTTTCTTGACACCGTGGTCTCCTGACATACTAACAGCAGAACAGTTAGTGTTCTGTGTTAGCAGTAGTCGTCAACTGGGATCACTATAGTCAAGCCGTTTGATTGGGTTTGTTAGTGAGAGGCTGCAGTTGGTTAACCTGTGCCCTCTTGTGTACACGCCTGCAACAGGTGCCCTGGTGGACCAAGGTGTCTTCGAGGAGCTGGCCCGAGACTACGTCCCGCAGCTGTACGACTGCATGCAGGATCTGGGCGTGATCTCCACCATCTCCCTGTCCTGGTTCCTCACCCTCTTCCTCAGTGTGATGCCCTTTGAGAGTGCAGTTGTGGTTGTTGACTGTTTCTTCTATGAAGGAATCAAAGTGATATTCCAGCTGGCCCTCGCTGTGCTGGATGCAAATGTGGACAAACTGCTGAACTGCAAGGATGACGGAGAGGCTATGACCGTTTTGGGAAGGTACCGTACTGAGCAGGACTTTGAAAACCGTCTCCAGGTTTCTTCCCTCTCCTTTCGCTCTTTCTCACAAGTCTTAGTTCATGTTCATGGTAATCATCATGCCCACTTCTCCTTGTGGTGGAGGATGTATTTTCATTTGCTTTTTGTTAGAAGTTAAGGGAATTTCATTTCGTTTTGAAGAAAACTAATCCTTTGTTTTAAAATGCAAAGATTGCAGAAAATGACTGGAGAACTGGAATGGGGGAATTCCAAGTTAGCCTCCCATGACTTCGGATTCATTTCCTCTCCTAGGTACTTAGACAGTGTGACCAATAAAGACAGCGCGCTGCCTCCCATTCCCCACCTCCACTCCTTGCTCAGTGACGACGTGGAGCCTTACCCCGAGGTGGACATCTTCAGACTCATCAGAACTTCCTATGAGGTGGGTGTTATTTTCTAGTTGAATGTTCACAATACTCTGAGATCTCTATGAAGGGCTCAGCTGGATCCTGCACTTCCATTGCTAACCTGTTGTTCTGTGCTGCTATGACAGAATTCCACAGACTAGGTCATTTATAAAGATGGGAAGTCCAAAAGCAAGGCGCTGGCATGTTAGGGCCCTATCTCTCAGTTTCCAGTATGGTGCCTTAAATTTCCATCTTTCTTTTTTTCTTTTGTTTTTTCTTTTTTTTTTTTTTTTTTTTTTTTTTTGGTCCAGGCTAGAGGGCCATGACCCTCAAACTCCTGGGTTCAATTTATCCTCCTGTTTTAGCATCCCTCCTAGCTGGATCTACAGGTGCCCCCCATAATGCCTGGCTAATCTTTCTATTTTTAATAGAGAATGGGGTCTTGCTCTTGCTCAGGCTGGTCTCAAATGCCTAAGCTTAAGTGATCAAGGGCTGCCTGGGCCTCTCAGAGTCCTAGGATTACAGGCATGAGCCATGACAGCCAGCCCAAGATGCTGCAGGCTCTAAAAGGGAAGAATATCATGTCTTCATACGGCGGAAGAGAGAACCTACTCCTGAAAGGGCCTCATAACCAAAACTCTACCCATTAAGTCCCACCTCAATACATCATTGGATTGGGAATTAAGTTTCAACATGAGTTTTGGAGGGGACAAAAACATTCACATCACAGCTTTACCTGCTTCCTTTTACACTGTGAGAACTACTTGCTGGAAATAAGCAGCTATGCGGTAGCTGTCAGCTTTGGTCTTCAGAGGTGGGCAGTGAATGGAGGAGTGTAGGATTGGGTGGATCTAATACCCTGGTAGCAAATGGCACAGCAAACTCTGGCCCTCTAGTTCTTTGCTGTGCCCACCCTGAACCCTGATCCTAGTAGCAGCTCGGCTTCGTCTCTGGGTGAACTGAGGAGGAGCTGTTGAGAGTAGACCTAGGGAGACTGAGCTTCATAAATCAATTCACTCCCTGTTCCCATGCTGAGCACTTAAGATTTCTCTGAAGTAGACAGTCTGTGACACTTAGAACACCCTGTCCCAGGTTAGAGTAGGCCAGGGTCCTAGGATTCTCCTAAAATGGTTTGGCCTGGGATGGGGGAAGATGCCTTCTGCTCCATGATGACCCTGAACTCTGCCTGATTCTGTTCTGTATCTCAGAGTAGAATAGGAACAGTTAGGGTTCTGTGAAACTAGAACTAAGGAGTTTCTAGGGATAAAGGAACCCCAGTGCCATGTGCCCCCATAGCATCTCGTAATATGTGAGTCCCCAAGGACTCAGTGCCCATCACATTTGATGGTTTCTTCATTTTAGGATCTTTGGCTGTATAAATTTGTATGGAAATGATTATAAGGAAGGGAAAACATGCATATTCTGCTGAGTACACTATTCCTCCACACGTGTCCTGGGATTGTCTGACTGGTGATCATCAATATTCCAGCTAGCAGTAAACTAGATAAGAGAAAGAGAGTAAGGGACAGGGTGAGGTCAGAAAGTCTAGTGTAGATTCAGAGTTCTAGTGCTTTAAAAATAATTGGTGTGGATTTAGAAATCTTTTCAGAGATGTATATCCTTAACTCATAATGGGAGAAAGACTGATAATTACTTTTTTTGATGATAATTACTTTTCAATATCTTCATTGAGACCTCCACTTTTTTGTTTGTTTGTTTGTTTGTTTGTTTGTTTGTTTTGAGACAGAATTTTACTATGTCACCCTCGGTAGAGTGCTATGGTGTCACAGCTCACAGCAACCTCAAACTCTTGGGCTTAAGCAATTCTCTTGCCTCAGCCTCCCAAGTAGCTCAGACTACAAGCACTTGCTACAATGCCTGGCTATTTTTTTTGGTTGCAGTTGTCATTGTTGTTTAGCTGGTCTGGGCCGGATTCGAACCCTTCAGCCTTGGTGTATGTGGCTGGTGCTGCAACTATGGTATAGGTGCCGAGCCTCCATATTTGTTGAAAGCTAAATATTTTGTTTCAGAATTATAAAAGTAGTGCATTGTTATAGGAATTAGAAAAATACGAAGAAGAAGTAAACTATATGAGCATTTCACCTTATTTCCATTAAGCATATTTTAGTTCCTACTAAACACTGTTTTATAACATTCTGTTATTCATTTAAAATGTATCATGAGCATTCTCTAATGTATTAGGTATTGTTTAAAGGCATAAGTTTAATAAATTAATTGAACTGATTCCCTTTTGCTGGATATTTACTTTGGTTTCTTCCAAATTTTCAGTATTATTATTATTCATTCTGTGATAAACTTACACCCAAATATTCTATCTCTAATTATTTTCTTAGAATCCTACAAATAAATTCACAGCAATAGATTTAAAAAAAGAATAATTTCTGAGCTCCTGGCACACACTGTCCAGTTTCCGTAAATGTTGTCCAAATTTATAATCCCACCATTAGAGATTAAAGAATGGCTGGTTGAGCCAGGGATGGTGGCTAATGCCTATAATCCTAGCCGAAGGATGGCTTGAGGTCAGGTGTTTGAGACCAACCTCAGTAAGAACCAGACCCCCATCTCTACTAAAGACAGAACAAATTAGCTGGGCCTGAAGGTGTATGCATGTAGTCCCAGCTGCTTGAGAGGCTGAGGTAGGAATTCACTTGAGCCCCTGAATTTGAGGTTGCTGTGAGCTATGATGGTGCCACTACATTGTAGCCCCCAAAAGGGGGTGCTTGACTTCATCCTCTCTAAAACTGGTTACTCTCCAAATGCATTTTTTAAAATTTACTGTCTTTGAACTTTTGGATAGTATTCTGTCAGAAATACTGGATGATTTATTCTTTAGGAAAAAAGCCCTATGATTGTGGGCAATAATAGTTGTACCTACGGATTGTTTTTCTGAAGGCATCCTTTACTGCTAAGATAACTCTAGACCAAAGTAATAAAGCTCAGTATGTGAAAACTCAGCTTTATTCTGGACAGCAGATAAACTCACATGATGCGGAGGTCAGCACTTTGCTCATTTTTAATGGGAAAGAGAAGAGACTGAGACAAGACCAAGGGCTGGTTTCCATTTACCTCCTATCTGGCTGAGCCCTAATGGTGGCCCTCAAATGTCCTATCACAGGTCCCAGCAGCAGCTTCCTTCCTCTACCTGGGAAGACGAGTCCTCTGTTTATATCAATGTCTATGTCACCTGGGCTTTCAGTGCTGGTTTGTGTGTGCTGTGTCATCTGCTGGAGTGTCACCACTCTGCTCCTGTTTCCAGTGGCTCTCCAATGCCTTGTACATGAACTTAAAGAGGACACCGCACACTGCTGATGATCTTTTTCCCCCCTCTCCTAACCGTAGATTGGTGGTTCTCAATCCCACCTGTGCATTAAACCACTTAAATAAATTTTTTTTAGGGCTAGGCTTTTAAAAATATAAATTCTCAGGCTCTATTCCAGACCAATTATATCTGCAAGCCTGGCACAAAGCCTAAGCATAAGGATTTTTCTTCAAGTTCCCCGGCAGCCTTGTAGCCACTTGAAGGGAGGAACCATATTGCCAGAACTTTTAATTTTTCAAGAGAACTTGGAAGTTTTGATTTTATTTAATTTTCCTAAATTTTTAAATAGTCCTTAGGTCAAACAATATACATCACGGACCTTTTAGCCTGCTAGCTGCCTATTCATAATTTCTACTTTGGAGCAATTTTTAAAATAAATTCTAAGTAAAATATAGTGATACTGAGTACTATGTTTAAAGTTTTTCATAGCTTATGAGAATTCATAACCACAAGCCTAAGAATCTATGTGTTAATCTACCCTCCACCTGCAGCTCAGCAAGGCTGAGTAACTTATCCAAGGTTACAGTAGGTTGAGCTGGGGTTCAGATCCAAAGGTCTTTAATGTGTTTCTTATTATTTCTTATAACGTCACCAGCCTGTCAAAGCTACAGCTACTGGCTTGGCACCCATAGCACAGTGGTTACAGCGCCAGCCACATACACCAAGGCTCGGGCCAGCTAAACAATGACAACTGCAACTAAAAATAGCTGGACATTTTGGCGGGCACCTGTAGTCCCAGCTACTTGGGGGGCTAAGGCCAGAGAATCACTTAAGCCCAAGAGTTTGAGGTTGTTGTGAACTGTGACGCCATGGCACTCTACTGAGGGCAACATAGTGAGACTGCCTCAAAAAAAAAAAAAGCTACAGCTACTGTTTTCTCAGTTCATTCAGGATGTTGAAGCTGATTAATGCTTTCTGTCATATGGTACTTTTTTTTTCATTCTTGAGACAGTGTCTCACTCTGTCACACTGGGTGCTATGGTGTCATAGCTCCCAGCAACCTCAAACTCTTGGGCTCAAGTGTTCCTCTCACCTCAGCTTCTGAAGTAGCTGGGCCTATAGCACCCGTCACAATGCCTGGCTAGTTTTTCTATTTTTACTAGAGATGGGGTCTTGCTTTTGCTCAGGCTGGTCTCAAACTCCTGAGCTCAAACAATTGGCCTGTTTCTGCTTCCCAGAGTGCTGAGATTACAGGTGTGAGCCACTGTGCCTGGCTAAGACATGGTACCTCGAAGAGCATAAAATATAAAAGTATAATATAAAAGTTATAATATGATATAAGTTAATATAAAATTGCATCTCTTTATAAAATATGGGCCTGCTTTCCAGTAAACGTTTATGAGAGTACTGTGACATGAATATAGCCATGAGTTAAGACTTCTTTAAAGACCAGAAAACCCCAGAGGGGGCCTCTCATTCAGTGATTGTGAGACTCCAACAAGCAAAGTCTTCACCTGACTTCATATCCTTGTCCCTCCTTGTCATCTTCCCTCCTCTCCCATCCTCACCTTCCTCTTTTCTTCCCCTGCACATTTACTCCCACCCAACACTGAAGTGCAGGCATGTGGACAGATACTACCACACAGGAGAAGGCAGGGTAGAGGTCGGGGAAATGCGTCCTCACTTGCTTTTGAGAATCTCCCCTTACCTCTTGTTCTGTGCCTCTCAAAACTTAATACTTTTCTATATGTCCAAAGCTGCATTCCATTGATTTCTCCCCTCTCCCACCCACTCTTCCAAGACAGAGCCTCATTCATTACTTTAATCATTTGGAGATTTTCTGATTAAAGAAAGGAATCTCTCTAAGATGTAAATGGTGCCCAGCTCTCAACCCCATTCTGCATACCAGGGAAATAAGTACTCCACAAACAGGGGAACACAAAGAGGCATTTTTGAGCATAATTTGATGACATAGTCTTAGTTAAAAACACAAAGTGAACCATTGACTTGATATTAGAAACAATGCCTTCTTTTAACTTGCTCAGATCATTCCGTGGCCTTGTGCACCCTAAATTGAGTTGTATTGTTGTTGTTTTCTTTTGTTTGTTTTTAAAGCTCTAATATTTAAATATTTCAAGTCTCCTCTGGAAGATTTAGAGAGGAGGGGCCTATTGGACTTGGCCCCTGTGGTCTCTTTTTAAAATCTGAATCTGTTCTCCAGCCATCTTCTCAGTAACACAGGGAAAGCTTTGAAGGATAAAGTAAGTCACAAAGAGACTTCCCAAAATGAGCGGGGCAGCTCTTGTTCCCTCAGGAGTGATGGTAGGGGTGGGAGAGGCTAGAGATCATGACCTTGAGACAGGCTCATCTCTACCTCATTCCTTCCTCTGAGCTCATTGTTCCAAGTCTGTTAGGGAAAGAAAGGGGGCATCTGTGGACAGGCTGGAAGAAAGTGGTAGGGGATGAAGGGCTGCATGCCTGTGCAATATTCATTAGTTGGTATCAGTAAACCCCCACAAAGTAGCAAAGAGAAGTACTCCCTGCACCGAAAATCGCCTCCCTGCTCAGAAAGAATTTGGCAATTAGATTGGAAAACTAGAAACAGGCCACAGAAGCATTTGGATAAAAATAGAGTTGGAAGAGAGATATAGATGAAGATGGATAACTTTATTGTTTAAGAAAGGGAGATGTTACAAAATTCAAATAATTTTAGGATCCCTTCCCCCAAGGCTAAATTCTGTTTACTGGGAAAAATATCACAGTTACTTTAGTGAATTAATTTGTTCTTTTCATGGCACTAAAATGTGCAGTGCCTGGGAGAAGATACTGTAGCTAGACTTTTGTCCTGGTTTGAGGTAATGGTTCCCGATTATACTGAGCCAAATTTTCTTTGCCCCAGTTTTAGCATCTCATTCTGCCAGAGCCCACACACACACACACACACACACACACAAGAAGGGTTGTAGAGGAACTCCCTTCCCTTGTTGTTCTCCTTGCTCGCTCTCCTTTAGAAAAACCTCTGGAAATAGGCAACTTGGAGTGCATTGTTTCCTTTTAGGTTGGGACCATCTGCTCCGGATGGAAGGGCCCTTGGGTTCTGTCTCTGGAGAGTCACAGAGGCCTGCCCGAGAAAGGGGTCCTGCCCAGCAAACAGCAGGATCCATTTCTAGCTGAGGGGCAGATATTTATCAAATATAAAAGACACGGGGCTCTTTGAACGTTAGGCTTGGGAGGAAACAGCTCTTTCTCTTTAGCAACCTGAAAAGATCACCAAGGCAATGTTTAATATTAGTTACTTTTGTTGGTACTTTATATTAATATATCTTTATCTCTAATAGCAGTTTTGCAAGGATAGTTTTGGGGTCTCATTTTGCAGAGGATGAAACTGAAGGCCAGAAACCTCAGGTGAATTGCCCAGTCACATAGCTGTTAATAGTTAGTGAAGGAACAAGAATTTGAATCTAATTTTGCCTAGCTTCAAAATTTATTGTCTATTCTACACAGAGACGAGGAAGACATTAGTGCCTGTGTTAGAACGGTAAGAAGTGGCGTTAGGAAGCTCCCTGGAGGCCTCAGACCACGTGCAGCTCAGCCCCATAGAGCTCTGGTGACTTATTTCATCTCTCCAAGCATTGGTTTGCCCAGTCGTAAAATGGAGATAGCACTCCCAAATCACTGTGGTTATTACAAGGTGCAGATGAGATGACGTGGTAATGTCCCTGACAGTTGTAGGTATAGTAAAATTTAATTTCCTTCTGCCTGAGAACTTGTCTTTTCTTGATTATAGCTATACTATGGGCCGGTTTGAAATAATAAATCCAATCCTCCATCATTAGGTGTGTACTTTGCAATGGATACTGACTGCTTTTTTGTTAGGATCAAAGGACTTACTTTCCCTGTAGGAGTCTTTCTTTCCCAGCAGAATATATAACCCCAGAGTGAATTAAATGTGATTGTTTTTCTGTTATTAATAGCAATACCTACCAACTCCTGAATTTTATCTTTTCAGTAGAAGTAGATACTGCATCTTTAGGTTTGAAAGGAATCTAATTCTGTCTTTGGAAGGCAATGCTTTGGAAATGGGAAGTTTTGTTCCATAATCTTCCATTTGTTAGGTCAAGACTCACTCACGCGTGACTGGTGGAAAAGCAGCTGGTCGACTTCAGAGGTGCCAATGTACTCTTTTGTTCTGATTATTAGAGCATATGCCTGGGTCAAAACTCAATTCCCAGTAGTCCTTTCAAAATAGAGAGAAAAGGTACTAGAAAAGTGTACTCTTGGACTGTAAACCCCAACTTGGGAAATATAACAGTTCAGCCTACCACGTGGATCAGTCTGTGAGAGGTGTCATTTATAGGGTTGCCGGGTAACGTACAGGACAAGTATTGACTGGGACTTAGAGTAAAAAATTACTCATCCTTTATCTAAAATTCAAATTTACCTGGGCATCCTGTATTCCCTGTATTCTTAGTGGCTGCATCTGGCAACCCCCACCATTTAGTGGGCACTTTCTGTGCTATCCAGGAAGTAGGAGAGTTGACATGCCGAGGGGTCTCCCAGATATGGGGCTGTGAGCACAACTTCTAGAATCCAACAGCCTGGGCTCAGACTTGGCTCTACCACTTACCAGCAGCATGGGACTGTGAGCACAACTTCTAGAATCCAACTGGGCTCAGACTTGGCTCTACCACTTACCAGCAGTGTGGACGTGAGAAGGTTGACAGTTTTTACTAAACTTCCATTTCCTTGTCTCTGAAATGGACGTAGGGAGAGCTCATGCTTCATGGGATCGTGATGAGGACTCCCTGTGTTCAGCAAATATTTTCCAAGCACTTACTATGAGTCAGTACTGTTCTAGGTTCTGGTGGACACAGTCTTTGCCATCCTAGGAAGTGGCAATTGATTTAGTAAGAAAAAAACAATTGTAAGGTGGTGATAAATGCCAATAAGAGGGAATGTGGCAGGATGGAGGCTGTGGCTAAAGATTTCTCTGAAGGTTTACTTTTCTGAGGAGCGGACAGTTAGCAGAGACACATGTCATGGGGGAGCAAGCATGTGGCTGTCTGGGAGAGGTACATTCCAGTGCTCAGGCCCTGTCTGGAGGCCACTGCACTTAGAGAGATGTGATGAGGAGTACGGAGAGGGTGGCAGCTGATCAGACAGGTCACTGTGGAAGGTGGGGAGAGCATGTAGGGCTTGTAGGCCTTGGAGTTTTATCCTGAGGGAGATGAAAACCGTCGGAGTTTTGGACAATGCATAGTGTTACTGGGTGCTGGCTTTAAAAGGACCACTTCTGCAGCTAGGGGGGAATTAAAGGTGCAAGGCCTGGAGGAAGCCAAGAAGCATGGAGATCACTTTAGAGGCTATTTTAAGAGAGGACAGTGGCTTAGACTAGGGAGCTGCAAAGCGGAGATGGTAGAGAGGGGCTGGAAATTCCTAGGGTGTAAGTGTTGATAAGGAGATCTAGAGATTTCTCATGGCATGGATATACAGAGACCCTGTTTTTATCGCTTCTGTTCAACACATGTATGTAACTATTAATGCAGATCAAAGACAGGAGGTTCCTAGCAACCCAGAGGGCCCCTGTGCCCCTTCCTGCTACTGCTC